TACCCTTTTAGAAGAGTGCTTGTGATAGCGATGAGGGTGCAGCATGCAAACATAACGGTCGATTGCCATGCAGACGAGGATAACAGCGCTCTGTTGAGTCAAAGCGCCTCTAAGGAGTGCCTGGAACAGTAAAAGTTTCCGAAAGAGCAAACGAGATTCTTCAAGTGTCGCACACTCTCTCTTTCTTTCTTTCTTTCTTTTTCTCTTTCTCAGCCTTTTCAAATAAAATAAGTTATAACTTCTTGAAAAAGTGCATAGATCGACAACAGCGAGATAAGTCAGATAGGCGAGAAGTTTTGATGAGTTGAGAGAGTACATCGAGAAAAATCTACTTTAAGCAGTGTCTCATACAATCATTACATTCTTTTTAATTTTCTACGAATCTAAAAATATTTTTCGATTTATTAAAAGAAAGTAACAATTAAGAACAAAGGTTATATAAGTGTGTCTGTGGCTATACATTGCTCAGATATTATTAAGAATAATTTATTATTAAGGAAGAAAAGTCACCTCGTTTTTTTATTTTTTCGTGAGAATTATTAACTCAACAAGCCAATCTTATACATATTTTGATGAGTTACGTAAAATTTTTAAAAATCTTAAAAAACAGCACCGATAGAATTGTTAACTCGAAACTTGTCCATATAAGAATAGCAGTATAAAACTATGAAGCAGGAAGCATTTCGTTTAAAATTATAGTTTTTTACAATAAAAAACGAACAATTTTTTTTACTAAAAATTGCATTGTAAATTCAGAAGTATATTGTGAAAGTTGAAAAATCTCAAATCAGCTATGATAAAGATTAGATTTATTAATTTTTTTTTTTCAAGAATTTGTTAAGTGTGTTTTGTTTCAAACTGAACGAAAACTATTGATGTTATATGATGTTATTGCTACGGATAAGCTTAGGACCAAGTTATGGTTACATTTTAAGTACAAATTTTATGTAACGCTTATTAATATATGTATTATACAGGATATTGTTCGAAATCCTATTTGAATAAAGTTAACAGACTTCGCAAAAAAATTAATAAAAATAGGCATTTCTTTTTGACTCTTCTAGGTATATGTTCCCTGTTAGCAATATGTATGTATTGTAAATATACAT